GTCATAGAAACAAATAAGTCACTACAGTATATCCTATTAGAATACGCTATTCCTGTGATGACGTTTGCGTATTATTAATCAATCCTGACTGACCCATGGTGTACAGGGAATCCGGTAATCAAGGGACATCGAAGTCGGTGTGCCCAGAATACCTCATGGTGTCTGTATTGAAATCAGGATAAGTTAAAACCGGATGCTTCGTCACATGTTTTCGTTTTGAGCACTGAAGAAAACGAACATAACCTGGTTATTGATGGATAATCCTGGCAAACTTATGAGTGGAGATGTGAAATACAGATATTGTCTATTTGATGCTATATCACACCGCTCGGGAATTCAAAAAAGTAGGTACATTTCAGAAACTATAAAGTTGTACGGTAACAGCCGTGAGACAAATAAAAGATCGTTAATAACAAAGGGTCCATCCCTATCCTAATTCACTTTTCGCGTTGTCCGTTGTAATTAGCGATCTGTTTTTCATCTCAGAGTTTTGCGGTTTATTAAGAGATCCTAGTTTCTCGATTGCACTTTACTGGTCGATTATAACAAAGTAGAACTATGCCCACAATACAAGTTGTAAGTATTGGATGCCATCATATGGTGACTTACCTCGGATGGAAAAGCAGCAAATTCGAATACACAGAATCCTTTGGATAAATTGACCTCTTGATATCGTCCGATGCGCACGGGTGGTAGGGTCATGACAGGCGCAGCACTTCCAAACACCGGATACACGTATCTGGAAAAAGAAAAATTATCACATGGTCTATTTTGTAAAATATTCATCGGAGGTAATAGAGCGTTATACGTATTGTACCTGTCCCTCAAAAAACTAAGCAGCTTCGTTTCAAACGCCTAATCACCCAAAGAAAGGGTAATTTTTAATATATCGAAACGATCAAGAAGTGTTAGCAAAAAGCGCACCTCAACAAAAAGGTTTAAGTGCGGACAATCAACTGAAACGATGAGAATCGATCGTTGACTCTGTGTGATAGTGATATGGTTTCATGTAACCTAATTACGGTCAGTACTAGGCAGACATGCAATATAAATAAAACGATCCATAGAGTAGATAAATGAATCATGCTTTCTGAGACTACTCGCACCAGATACAACGGTCGTTAGTGTTACGAATCACACCATCGGTCCCGTTAACCAAAATGATCGCTTTGTCATACAATAACGAATAACTACTCATCAGTAGACAAAATGATGATGAAGAAATGTTTCCGAGAGTTGGAGCTCCCTCAGTGGCTCTCATGACGAGAACGGTCAGAATCGAGACAATTGGAAAGCTAGCGGTGGGAACTAACCTGGCGTACACTAGTGGCTCGTGATCCAAAGATGTAAAGTTTTTCAAGGTTCTTAATTCGATCGTGTAGCAAAACCGATGGAGTGCCTCACAGCTGGGTGTGGAGGCTCTTGGCAGATTGGAAATCTGTGAAGCTTGAGGTTGTGCAAGTGAAACCTGTGGGGTTTTGTGAAATCCGATGATAGCATTTGTCAATTTATGCGCAGAAATAAAAGAAACTTTGAAAACGCAAGGTGCTGAATGTTTTGATTCCATATATATGATGACTTATACAGTTTTCAAAGTGAGATAGATTGATTCAGTGTTCAAACCACTTGTATGCAAACACTCTACAATTCGGTTATTGTATGTCATCCGACAGGAGAGTTTCTGTACGATCGGATTATCAAACAATATCAGGTGCACTGAGAACACTGTCCATTATGATCCTTGCGTAAAGTTTCGTATATCTATCTATTAGCTCAAAGGAAATGTTAATTGCATCGAAGCCGGCAAAAGATTCACGGTAGTGAAAAACGGATTATCCACATGAACTAAGGATATAGATGATATTACGCGATATCCAGTACCAAAATTCTGACGGCCACAAAGTGCTAACGTGGGAATCTGGTTGTAAACGGGGCAAATCCAACGACCTGAACTTCATAGGTTTAGACCTTCCTGGTTTATTGTTATGGTTCAATTTCGTGGCACTCATTGGCAAACAAAATATCGTCAGCCAGGATAAACTACAAGTTTGAAGGAATGCCCCTTTACTTCAAATTCAGTCAGCTGATTTAAATCAACACACTTGATGCACATTATTTGCCTTGTTTATTCCGCTAGCCAAATACAATCCAAAAGAAGGAACGCAATTGATTTTAGGACCGCTAACAGCATGTATTAAACCAACACTGAAAGATATTCCGAATGACCAAATATTGGTGTTTCCGCTAAGTTTAACAGGGAATTTACCAAATATTTACCATATTCTTCGGAACTGTGAACCATCGGAGTGGTATGCACGCGTTTAACTAGTGCAATACGCAATGGGGATATCAGGGATATCAGTGAGAAAATTGAGATTTCAACGAATATTTTCTAGATGCCATAGTTTCATATAAAAAGCACTAAGGATCTTTTGCCGAGATTTTTACACAGGGGAGGATATTTCGACATTGGGAGCAGTATGACTGCGATGACTACTTCAACTCGAAAACCGGATAACCTAATTCCAATTGACGATTTGAATGTAGTGGAGGTAAACGTTGCGATAGTCACACGCGTAGCACCCAAGGTAGATGTAATACTACGCAGAAACACTGGTTTATTTAACCCCGCTGGAACATGAACACACGCATTGATTCATTCATAATCTGCTTTCCGCTTCCTTAGGATTTTGCGTCCTAAACGTAGTTCATTCACTTCAGCAAGCCGATCGGATTATTTTTTATTAATTTCGTCGATCTCATATGTCCTGATCGCCTGTACCGGTTTTCTACTGCACAGGATAGATAGATAATATTACAGACGGTGTCAAAATAACCATGGGTTCCATTTCGCCTGTTCACCGAGTTTGGCAATTTGTTTGTAATCGTTTTATCACCAGTCGAGATGACATCATCAGTGCTTGTTAAGTGGGTAAAGTGAGAATAGAACAGGACCGCAAGCAATCAAATTACAGCGCGAAGGGAGGGAGAAACATAGATGTCTTTGTTTCTTAATTGTACGCAGTTTTGGACAAATGTCCTTTTACAAATAGGACAGCAAAATGTAGAGGCACATCCACGCCCCTGAATTCGAATCAATGCCATATCCTAAACCTACGGTGAACTGAATCTTTGGGACGCTGCCTGCATGATAGCATGCCCCAAAAGAAGCCCGATCAAACTACACTTTTCAACTCTAAATGTCACATCACAGCTTATATCCACCTCGTTATTTTAGTTGAGTAGTAGGAAATCGTATGTTTAGAAAGTGATCCGATCTGTCTTGTCAACATAAGATGAGGTGGACGCGAGCAGCCTGACGGCCGGCCGTTGATCGATCAGTCTAAGCGTTACTGTTGTCCTGTCGTGTCATTCTTGCTGAAGCCGTAATGCAAAAACTCGAAAGGACCATTCTACCACAACTACAGCCCAAGCTCTGGCTTAGATATGTAGATGACACATTCGTGATCCTGAAGCGATCGGAAGTGGACAGACCCTTCAACAGCATCAACAACATCTTCCCGGATATCAAGTTCACCATGCAATCAGAACAAAATGGCAAATTGGCATTCCTCGACGTCCTAGTAACAAGATCATTGTCCGAACCACTAGAAACATCAGTATACAGAAAGAAGACCCACACGGATCAAATTCTGGGATACATG